TCGTCGTTTAAAAGCAGATCGGCAATGATTTCTGCTACATTTGTATTTCAGTGTTGCTTCGGATAAGGTGGTCTTCTGCCCCGTTAGATTGCATTTTTGTAGCCATGTGTTCATTGTTTACGTAATTGTTTTTTTTTGTCAAGCACTTTCATCTACCGGATTTGGCTGATACGCCCTGGGCGATCTTATGGAGGATTCAATTTTTTTAGAAAAATGTGGACCAAAAGATCGCCCGGGCGATGTTATGGTAGATATTACGAAGCCTATCTTTTCTGAAAAAATAACCCTGCGTTGATAAAGATGACCTCAGAAAATGTTTAGAAACATAATGTTTCGCGTTGACTAAATATAATCATGCAAAATATAAATTCAAAGTGTTTTAATACATTGGTGAGAGGTCGCATTTTACGTGAACAAGAACATGCACTAAGAAGGAAAAGCAGGCCAAAGTCGAAACGGGGTGCATGACACAACACACACTGCGACAACTGAGTGATCAGCGACATCATTTTGGAACGCAATTGAACTTCAAGTACTTCTTTGCGAAACTTGCTGCGCGGCGATGCTGACATCAAGTGTGTGTTGACCGAACTTTGACCCCAAGTCACGCACTGAACTGGCGCGTTACCTTAGCAACCTTTTTCTTTGCCCCGCGCGTCAATCTAGTAAAATTGTTAATATATCCGACGGTACTGTAGTTACGTAACTTGTATGCAACACTGTACTGGCTTTGAATACTAGTATATCAACGTCGTTTACTTAGTGCATTGCTTTTCTAATTACGCAAATTTGTTTACAATTTTGTACCGGCTCTGAATATTTCAACTTCGTAATGTATTGCTTTCATGAAAATTAGGTTTTTTTTTACTGACCCGGGGTATTGGGTCTGTGAATATTTCAATATTACCGATGCGATAATGCGTTGCATTCGTAATAATTACACAAACATAAACATACCATACGTCAAATTAAATTTTACTATAAAATAATAAACTCTGGGCAGCCCACTTCGATCGCATACATTTCAATCACGTACATTTCGTACACGCGTTCATGCACTGATATTTAAATTCGGGCCACCCAGCTTGACGCAAATCAATATAGTTACTTGTTATTTGTTCAAAAAATCTTTCAACTCTCACAAATACCATGAACGCGAAGAGTTAACTGGGGGTTAAATGAAAGGGAACGTCTTTTTTCGACAAAAAACACGTCAGTACGAGATTATGTGTGTAAGGTTAGATTTATAGAACGTACATGACCGCTTAGCTCTGTCTTTTTTACCGAATCCGCCATAGGGCGGTTCACAGGTCATAGAATAAAATGGTGGTCAGTCAGTTCACCCCAATGCACATTCGCCCCAGACCAGTTCGCCCCAAAGTCAGTTCGCCCCAAAGTCGGTTCGCCCCAAAGTCGGTTCGCCCCAAGTTTACTGGTGTTCGTTTTCGCGGTTATGCGTGCAAGGAAATGTGGTTTTGAAATATTTTTAAAATTATACTTAAGTAAAAACCACATCGAAGGAGGCTGAT